AGTGTTTTTGAAAAATCGCTTACCCCACCTTTAATGACGAAATTTTCATTTTGGGGTGGAGTATCCCTTTAAGGAACACGTGATCCAAGTTGACCGTTAAGCTTTCTCCAACAGTAAGTAGTACAGACCCTCTCATCTCCCTATAGTAAAATAATCTCTGGTGCACTTTGAGCTTCAAAAATGCTCTTCAGAAACCTACGGGTGACGTCACGGACGCTACGTACTTGTTTTTTTTTGTTGTTTTTTTTAAGTCTATGGTTTTACCACACTGTAATAAAAAAATAAGGCAACCTATCGCACTCAACTTGTTAAGTTAACTCAACTAGCAACCGACAACTTAAAAACTTTAGTTCATCTAATGAATAAATGTCAGTCTACTGAGTGTTAAAATATCTGTCAGAGCAACCAAAGATTTTTAGCATTTAGCAATGCTAGTCTTTTTTTAACAATCCTCTTTCTTTTAGATTTATGTTTATTTTCAAAGCCTGCTACATAATATTGGTAGTATTTGCCTCTTAAAACTAAAGGCAAACATTTATGCTGATAGACAAATGTATTAAGTGGTTAAACAAGATGCAATGAGATGCACATATACAGTAGCCTACCTCAGCACACGATTCTCAACCATGCTGAGGATCAACAAATTTTAAATCAGTAAAAATATGAACTCTGATCAACATGACAGCAAACTGACAGACAGCAGCAGCAGCAGCAGCATACATCAAGCCAGTAAAATTTAAAACGATATTATTTTAATAATAATTAACATAAAATGTTTTCAAGCTGCAATGCATGCTGGGAACCTGTGCAATATTGTTCAATGTAAAATTGTTTGTTCAGATGACTCAATTTGAAAAGTTGGGAGAACATTTGGATATGTTGTGAACAAATACTTGAGTATCTAAGTAAGGTAAACAAAACAACTTTTGCTAGCGACATATTTTTGTTCAGTGCACACAAAAAATTAAACTGACCTCCTACTAAAAATTATTTGTTCAGGCTACTTTTTTACAGTGGTTAGTAGAACTTTTCGGAAGTTGGATTTGTTATAGTGCACGTTCGTTCTTTGATACTTTTTGGAGCTTGATAATCACCATCCTCAACATTTTGTGATATTGTCAGAGCCATATTCATGTACTTGTTGTAATCACCATCCTCAACATTACGTGATATTGTCAGAGCCATATTCATAGGCCTGTACTTGTTGCACTTAATTTTGTTCAACTAAAATTATATTTCGCCCACTAAAATTATATGCCATTTAGAGTAAAAAAATGAAAACAAAATACTGTCTAAATGTAAATAATGTCAAAAGACAAATGACAAACAAAATACTGTGTAAAAATGAACGCTGACAAGACTCTTGACCATTAGAGGGCAGTATTGAATCAAAGCTGAGCTTAGACAGGAAAGGTCTCGGGTATTTGTCCAGAAGGGCAACTCGATTATTCGTGTTTGCAGACAGTCGCTTACTCATTTTAGGAAAGACTGCATGATAATGCTAATTTATTATTCAATAAAATTATATCTTCTTGCGTTCTACATAAAGCATTCACTATTTTTGTCACCAGGGATGTAGGAACATACAAAAGCAAGGTCCTGTTTTATGTAGCATAAACTGACCCTGTTGAAAAAAAACAGCATATGCCGGTTAGGTATGTTTTAAAGCTGGGATGCTGGTTTAAGCTGGTCCTTTGCTGGTTTATGCTGGTCCTTAGCTGGTCATGTGCTGGTCCTAAACTGGTCCGACCAGCTTAAGACCAGCACATGACCAGCATAAACCAGCAAAGGACCAGCTCAAACCAGCATCCCAGCTTCAAAACATACCTAACCAGCGTATGCTGGTTTTTTCAACAGGGGAAGGTCACATTAATATAATATGTGGACGTGCATTTCCTTTCTCTAAACTGCTCATGAAAAGTTGGCTTGAAGAGCTTTCATAAAGGAGGATGCGCAGCCAACTTGAAATAAGACATGAATTTATTATGTTGTCAGGAGGTGGCAATGCCAACGGATGTGAGACTAGTGAACAAGTCCATCTTGTTTGAGGATTTAAACAGAAATGAAAAAGACATTGTATTCAGTGCAAAACATTGAGTTCAACTTTCCCTAACAGAGCAATAACAAGTGTTATTTGTGCAAATAGGCCAAGAATTGTCAAACACAAAGAGATGATGAATTTCTAATCTTTATTTGACAGGATAAATGTGATCGGTCAGCCAAAGGAGGGAGGTGAGGATAGGAGACGGGCATTTAAGTGCCATAACTGTGAATAAGACGGTGCACTCTTATTGGCAGACACACAGGTATTTTGACACAGAATCATTGTGACGTCACACTTCTGGATTATTGCAGTATTGAATAGGTTGACTTGATCGTGACATGGCATAACATATGTATATAGGGAGATACACTCCTCCCTTTGTCTCTTCTCTTCATTCCATTTTTCCTTTGATGAATTAGAGAGACTTAAGCACTTATGGTTATGAAAGCTGATTTGCTTGCTCTCATGGACAGAATGCTTTAATGAACAGAGGCACGACTTTGTGTGGCGAATATTGACTTATGTCTCGTCGTTGATGTTATGCGGTGAACACAGACATTATGAATCACAGACTTCCTGCCACTTGGAGCCCAAACAAAGACAAAAGTAATGCATTCCTAGTTTGACTTTCACCCTAATACTGTTGTATTTTTAAAAGCTAATGGTCACGATATATTAATGTAATAGAGCAGCTGTACTATGCAGCTTTGTGGTTTGTTATAGGACTTTTTTTGCAGAGCACTGCTGGTGAGGGAAATATGAGAAGAGAAGAAAGACTGAAAAGGCAAAGCAAGAGTGTGAGGTCATTTGAAGCACTCAGGAAATATAGTCGAGAAAAAATTTGAATCCATGGGTGAACATGTTTGCATAATCTGCTTTCTGAAAGATGAATTTTTGAGATTCCCTGCTTAATTAACCGTACGGATGAAACTGAGAAATCCACACTTAAAGTCTTAACTGCCAGCTAGTGGCCCTTGAGTTCATAAGAGTCAAATATGCTATGCAAATAGGAAGAAGGATATGGAGACTCAATTAGCAGAGGAAATAGCTAGCAATGATATTGCCTCACTTTGCTTTTATGAATTATTACTAGGTTATATATAATATAAACTACAGTTCAAAAGTTTGGGGTCAGTAAGAGTTTTTGAAAGAAATGAATACTTATATTTAGTGAGGATGCATTAAATTAATTAAAAGTTACAGTAAAGACTTTTACATTGTTACAAAAAATTATATTTTTCAAATGCTGTTCTTTTGAACTTTACATTCATCACAGAATCTTGAAAACATGTATTACGATTTCCACAAAAAAATAATAAGCCATTTATAAGCAAAAAATAAATATTTTTTGAGTACTGAATCTGCATGTTAGAAAGCTTTCTGAGAGATCATGTGACACTGAAGACTGGAGTAATGCTGCTGAAAATTCAGCATTGCCATTCTAGGAATAAATTACATTTTAAAATTCAATTCAAATTGTAAACAATTGTTTTAAATTGTAATATTTCGTAATATTACTATATTTTGGATCAAATAAATGCAGCCTTGGTGACGAAATGAGGCTTCTAAAACTTTACAGATCCCAAACTTTTAAATGGTAGTTTAAATATTTAAATCAAATGTGTTAAACAGAGCTGGAAGTACTGTAATTCTACAAATAAATAATAACCAAATTTGCCAAAATACTTCATAAACAAACAAGAAGCACAGACTCTGGGAAAGACAAGTGTTCAAATTATCCTTAGATCTGCTGATTTGCAAACCCAGTTTCACTGACATTTATATCCAGTAAATAATGACTTAAAATCAAGGAAGTCAATGAGTCACTGACTAAATGTGCTTTTGAATATGAGAATGGTCATAACCAATGGTTTATATTTTCATGAGAAGCTATTATGTGTTTCTGAGGAGGCAGTAATGTGGTGTGCGAGGATTGATGGGAACAGGGGAGATAGACAAGAAGGATAGAAGACAGACAGAAAGGAGATGAAATGCAAGCAAGTACAGGAGGCCTAATAATAGCGCAGTACTGCTCAGAATTTCATCATGACAACTTTTCATGTCAGTTTGGCCTCTCAGTATCTTAATTTTGAACTCTCAGGTTTTTTAAGACTCATCTATCTATGTATTAGCCAGTCTGCCTGACCACTGCAGACCTCTGTAAAGAATTTAGGGGCTAAAGGGGCTCATTCAGCTCAGAGCTCATCTGTTCAGCGTTGTACTGAAAAATCACAAGGCTCGGGATGAGATTTTTATGGGTGGGAACTGGGAACCCTGTCCTAGATCACAGCGGGCCCCCTTTTTGGCAAATTCAACTGACTTTAACACCATTCCTTCAGTCTTTATAAACAGTCACTGTCACTGTGTTTCATATCTCACCAGGCACCCTCCCTCTTCATGTTGTGTGTTGTAGTAATACAATTCACACATTTATTATATCAATAATAATACAATACTGCATCAAAGCCCATTCTGAAGGACCAGACACTCATGTGTTCGCAAAGAAAAGAGAATGTTGTTGCAGTACATGGATCATGACAGGCTTCTAGTCCATAAGAAATAAATAAGACAGATGAAAATCAGATAGAAACAACGTTAAAACTGACATTTAAATTCATCCTTGTCTGACTATCTTACATGTACAGGTAACAAACAGAAGACTGCTCGTTTCGGAACTTGTGGGCGGTGGATGGCTTTCCATTTGCAGAGAAGAGTGCTGATTGGCTGCTGAGCAAAGTAAACAGGTGTCTCCTTTGTCTCCGATTGGCTAAAAGGAGGGGAAGGTGGACTGGACGAGAGGCCTGAACGAGAATCCTGGACTAAATCCCCACAGTGTGATATTCCAAAAAAGGTTCGTATAAACCTAACGTTAGTTAGGAGAGTGACATTTGCCCTCTCCTTCGGCAGACCCCCCCTCCTCCCTTCGCCCTCCCGTCGCAACTGATGGTGGGTAGCGGTGGATGGTGGTTAGTCAGCCGGGTGTGTTGGTAATAGTTTTGACTGTGTAGTTTTGGAACAGAGGCTGAAGGAACATTCCGATTGTGCCAAAGACACACACAAACACAAAGATCCAGAGAAATAGACGATCGATCACCATGGCCACATACTTCCAGTCCTCACTCACCTGTAAGACAAAAAGAACAGCAGATGAAATAAGGAGTGATGGTTGGATTGAGGGATGTACAGCAGGGTTGTTATTGACAGCTAGCGGTTGAAATGGGTACTGCAGTCCAAAAACAAAATATTGTTTCTCCCGCCCCCGCCCCCTCCTCCTCAAACTCGACGCTCATGCAGATTGCCTGTTTGAGGACTCGCAAGAGGAATGAGCACAATTGACAATACTGACGAGCCTCACGCACTGAGTTTATCCGTGTTTTAATATTCCTCTGGTCATAAAGCTTTTTAGATGGATGCCGAGGCTTTTTAGGTCGGGTAGAAACGATCTCTGACCCAGTTCATTTGCTGGATTCCATGGCTGCAATACGTTCTGTTTTCTGCGAAGTGGCAACCCTCATAGTTGAAATACTATTGGTTAAACTGGCAGTGGGCAGAATCACACAGACCAAAACAAAATAGACATTCCGACACGGAACACACATTTCAAAGTAGAATAACTGGCTATAGGATTGTTTTTCAAAGTGAACTTTGCATGATTCCTAAATATCTGCAAACATATTACAGTATTTTTATGCTTAAGTACAGTCAAAAAATTACATACAGCACCTTTAAATAAAACTATTACAAATTGTTTTAATTAATTTAAATAAAACGGAAATAAAAGATAAATATTAGATGATTTAGATGGCAAATAACAGAAATATGTTTAGGCTGAAGTACTTAAAATTATTAAAAATGTAATAAAAATGACAAGCACAACAAAATTACTAAAATTTTAACTGAAATTAAAACTTAAAATATAAAAGTAAAAGATAAGTGAAAATGTTAATAAATTCTATAATAGTATATAAATAATTTAAAATAACACTGGTGTGCCATATGTGTTTAAGTAGAACAGAGGACAAAGAGAAAGAGAACAAGGAACGGGGTGAAATAAATTCTCCCCAAAATTCTGTAATTATTTTTATCTGTGATTATTCCAAACCTGTATACTGATATTTCCCATTCTCTCATTTTCTTTGTTCTCTAAAAAGGACAAAAATGCACCACAAAAGCCACTTTTTGCAGTTCATATTAATTATGATTAAAATTAAGAATGCTTTTACAATTCCAATTTAATTCATGAATTTATGCTCAGGTAGCATAAACAGATAATACTGCAATTTGAATTTTAAATTCAATGGTAAAACATTCAAATTAATGGGAAAGCAATTTGACTTAATTAACAGTGAAAAAAGTATAATTGTCAAGACAAACTGAATGCTGGCTTGAAAGTTTTAGTCTGAAGTTTGAAGATTTTATAGGTGTTCAAATACATTTTCCCAGTTTCCCAGAATTCTATTGCCTGTTGAATTTCTTTGCCCAACTCTGGTATAATGTTTGTCAGATAGCCTCATCCATAGATGGCAATACAAACTGTGACTGACTCTTGTACATGTCAGTCCAGCTGCTCTTCCTGTCTAAGTGGGCGGTTCTTGACTAGAATATACTGTAGTTTGGACAGACCTTATGACGTTTAGTCTCTGACGACTATAAATGACCATACGTCATGATGTTAAACCTGGGCCACAGATGCCATATTTGATTTGAGAACTTCAGTAGAGAGGAATGAATAACAACAAATGAATCAGCAAAGAAAAGTGTCCTTTTTGTAACTTGACAGACGTGCTCACTTTGAACTCGTTACATTGCAAACAGCTGCATGAATCTTCAAAATTCTCCTTTTGTGTGAAAAGATAGCAGCAAATGTGTTTTGAACAACTGAGAAAGAGAATGTTAATTTTTGGGTGAACTATTCCTTTAAAAAGGCGAAATGTCAAAAAGAGATGAAGATGTCAGATGTAAAAGGGAGACAGGACATAGATGAGTCACACATAAAATGTGGGGGTGGGGTAAAAAAAAAAGATTGAGGTAAACATAAGATGGGAAATTGGATGTGAATGTGTGGGAGTGAGTGAGAGAAGGGAAGAGAGAAGATATTGTGAACAGTTAATGTGAACAGAGACTTCATTCCGCCACAGTGCTCTGATGAGGCGAGACACACGGGACTTGAACCCTAAGCACGGCAAAGGCTGCAAGGGAGTTGGCATGGAGACGCCTTGTTATCATGAGAATGAAACTCTGTGCAGGTCGAGATGATTGACAGAATTACTGAGTGCTGTTAATTTTACCCCATGTTGTCTGTGTTCCTGCTCTTAAGAAGAAACCAACTGCTCAAGCTCACTTAAAAATATTGCTGAGTTATAAAATATATTGCTGACTGTTCTAACTAAACAATATCATCAAAATAATGGGAAAAGATAAATAAAAAACTCACTATAAATCTATTAATATCTCTTTGGAACTTAAAATGGACCCATTTAAAAGATAAAATAATTTAAAGCACTGTATGACTCATAAAAGAAATAATGCATTTTTATTTTTAGAATAAAATAATAAATTACAAAAATAAAATCATTAAGAATATATTACTGATTTTGAAATAATTTTTGGTATTATTACAAATATTAGGGTTGTGCCGGAACATTTTAATGTAATTGAACCTTCGCAAAGGCCCGTCCCCCTTTGTTGTTGTAGCTATGTCCGACAAGTCATGCCACTCTCACGCCACACGTTCTCACGCAGTGAAAAATACATCGCGGAGCAATAAGGAATCTGATAATAACACACAAACAGACAAGACAGAACATGTTACTTTTGGTATGAAACAAAGTCTCAGCTTTCAAATTTTGTCATTTTTAAGAAATTCAAACAATAAATACCATTTTGTGGCTCTTTAATGTCGTGACAGGTCGCTGTAGCGCCTCAGTTCAAGCAGCACGTGAACCAATCATCTTTTCATATTTACTTAAAGCACAAAATAAACATGAATGAACATCAGAAGTATCTTGTTTCAACTGCTGAGAGATGTCAATACACACCATTTTTCAAGTTCAAGTCCACCAACATTACAGTAATCTACTCTCTGGTCTGGTTTGTTTGTCAGACAAAAATGGCAGATTCTGCGTTATGATTGGTCAGATCACCTGTCAATCTAACTCCCTGCGAGGGGTCAGTTGAATATATATATTTTAATATATGTTCAGTGCTTAATCACCTCAACTTTCTAGAAATAAATCATTTGGCGTCTATCACTTGGCTTGTAAAATGCACATCTCTGTAAAAAAAAAAAAAAATCACCTCCAGTATCATTCAGCACGACTGCTACTGTCATACGTGAGTAATGCTGAGACTCACACGGTGTTTGACAGAATGGGACTGTAAGCAATTTAAATGCCAACAGTGAGTGTAGTGCTGATGTGTAGCTATGCTTTGGCTAAAGACCACATCTCCTTTTTAATGCTTCAGGACTTGCCTGTCAAAGCCTCCACATCAGAGATTATTAAACCACAAGTGTGGAGCTGCATATTGATCTGAGTGTGTCTGTGGGAATGTGTGTAAGCTTTCACTGAGCTCATAATGAATGTCAAGTTTTGAGTCAGGCCTGGATGATCTAATGCTCACTCTAACAGTTTTAGTGTTATTTCTGACTTTGTTTTAGATGTAGTTGCCAAAAAATAATTTAACATTATAATATAATTTAGCAATTAGTGAATAGAACTTTGCTTCAGTTCTGCTTCTCTTATATCAGTATAACACTAACCAACCCATCTTTTCATTTTTACACTTCAGGAGATACAGGTCCAGTTGAGTAAGCATAAGAGAAATAGAATCTGGACACTGGTGTTTGTCATGGTGCACTACTGTGAGGAGCACGGAGACGAAGGAGCGAGGAGACGGAGGGAATCCAGAAATAATTAACTTTATTTTAACACCAAGGGACACACACGTAGCACAGGAATCGACGAACATTCAACAAGTAGACCCGACAAAACCAAACTGAACAGACTGGGGCTTATAAACACAGGAGAATGAGGATAATTAACTAAACACAGTGGGAACAAATGAAGAACTAATCGGGGAACATAATGGGAACAGGAAGGACCAAATAAGGGCATGGAAGGCACATGGGGAGCAAAACACACACAAAACAAGGAACAAGTTACAGCTACAGTTTATGTCCAATTAAAAAAGGCTGTAGGTGATACATGTTGTCTGGAAAGGAGGTGCCACCTTCAGCGAGGCAAAATAAGGGACAACCACTCTTGATCTTAATCTGGCTAATAATGCCTAAAAATATAATAATTATGTCTACTAAGCTCTGATAATGTATGAAATATATTAACAGACTATCCACATTTTTATAAAACAATAAGCCTATACCTTTAGAAGCACGGATGTGTCTGTCACTTTAAAGGTATGGTTCACCCCAAAAAAATGAAAATTGTCATAATTTACCCAGGTTTTTCTAAATCTGCATAAAGTCCTTTCTTCTGCTGAACACAAAAGAAGATACTTTGAAGAATGTGGGTAACTAAACAGCTGCTGGTCCTCAGTAACTTCAGTAGAGAATAAATACTATCAGAGTCATTGGGGACCAGAAACTGTTTGGTTATCCACATTCTTCAAAGTATCTTCTTTTATGTTTAACAGAAGAAATAAATTATTTCAGGTTTGTAACAACTTGTGGGTGTGTAAACGTTTAACAAAACATTTTTGGGTCCACAGTCCACCGTGAGCAAGCTTCTCTGCAAACTGCGCGTTCATCATTAGTTACTAAACAGATCCACTGATAAATTTCCCATTCAGCTCTACACCTGGAGAGCCTTGTGTTCAAAGGGCGGACGTGAGCTCTATAGATGTTTTAAACCACGCAGCTTTACCGCATGCTGCGGTCGCGTGAAAGGGCCTTAACGGTGCACGTTCTGGAGACTCCGTTGCTATGGAAACAAAGACGCCAAAATGCAATCACAACAAAAATGAACTTCTTTAATACTTCTTATGAAATTAATTTCATTATAATTGCGCTTAGTATTATAAACAGTGCACAATACCTATTTATTGATTCAACTATGTGTTGGCCTTTGTAAAATACGGGACAATTGATTTTATACGGGATGCATCATTTTACCGTTAAAGGTCCCCTGAAGCGCCTTGAAACACGCAGCGTTATTCTATGTGGTGATATAATTTCAACTGAAAAAGAAAGACAGGGCGGGTCATATCGAGCAGCCCCGCCCCCTTTTTAAAATAGCCAATAGCGTTTTGTTTATATCTGCTCGGGCCAGAGCTGTTGAGATCGGTAAAGCGCATTTGACAGCCACAGTCTAATAGATTACCCCCTAGATTCAATATGAAACTCTTTGTAAAACAAAATGGTGATCATAATCATGCTGAGGCTGTGTAGTTTTAAAAGTGTTTAATATATCAAAGTCCCTTTAAGGCAAGTCATGTCACTCGGTGGCCATCTTTGAAACACCTCTCGGGCATGCAAGTGCAGCTCCTATCACTTTGAATGGGGAAACATAAAATTCTCCAAAACTGTTCACTAAGCTTACGATTAAATTTATATTTGAAATCACCAATGAAATCTGACAACAACTGCGTCATAAATGTTGTTTCTTTTGCTCAAATAGTGTTATAAAAAGCTTATTTTTCAGGCTAGATCAGCCATTGCGCATGCGCAGTCCTGAGCACACGTCTCAGAGCGCTGACTTTACCGATTAGCTCTTTCATTCAGAAGGCGGGGCTTCCTGCGATTGAGCGGCCATATTAAGCGTTACATTTTCCCCATTCAAAACTATACGAGTGACAAGTCTTGGGTATTCTATAGCTTTGAATAAATGTCAACTCGCGCATATGATCCACTCTGTGCGATCGCGTCTCTGGACCAGAGCCAAAGTCCGGATCAGACTGCGCTTCCGCTGTTCGCGTTACACAACGTGAAACCAGACCTTATTTGCCCCAGTCAAAAGCATATTTACACTGTCCGAATCATTCCCTATCGCCTACATTGTGCACTACGTGCCATTCACCAACAGAAAATACTAACACTGTGAACAAGTGACCAATCTCAGCCGCAGGTTCAGCGTCTATTTATAGTGTAGGGGGCGGGCGCTTCGGATTCTAGAGAGCATTTGATTGGTCAGAAGATTTGATGAGAAGCTGAAGTACGAGGTGACGTCAAAAAAAAAATCTTTGATCCATTTTGGCGGAAATGTCGAACTGCAAGCTTTGAATGCTTATCTTCTAAATTCGAATTTTGTCACTGTTTTGGAGCACACTGGCTTATAGATAACCTTAAGACTAACATATTGATACTAACATCCAAACAACTTTAATTTTGATTTCATGGGGACTTTAAATACAGGACGATTCCATATTTTAAGGGACGGGTGGCAACCCTATGTCTGGATGACTACGACAAACTTAATTTTCTTTATATTGTGATCATGATTATTGATTGGGATAAACTTTACATTAAAATACAGCACTTATTTTGAGTATGACAGCTGCATACCATCGAGTACGTTTACATGGACAACAATATTCAGATTTTAACACGATTAAGACAATACTCTGATTAAGAATCTACCATGTAAAAAGACATTTTTGATTCCTTAATCCGGCTAAAGTCATACTCGAAGTAAACACTAATCGAATTAAGACATGTGGAGTATTCCTATTTTAGTCGCATTATCGAAGTGCAGTATAGACATGTACAGGTGCATCTCAATAAATTAGAATGTCGTGGAAAAGTTCATTTATTTCAGTAATTCAACTCAAATTGTGAAACTCGTGTATTAAATAAATTCAATGCACACAGACTGAAGTAGTTTAAGTCTTTGGTTCTTTTAATTGTGATGATTTTGGCTCACATTTACAAAAACCCACCAATTCACTATCTCAACAAATTAGAATACTTCATAAGACCAATAAAAAAACATAAGGTAAATAATTAGATTACTGATGTCCATGTAAACGTAGTCATAGTCTTTATGCAAGCTACACATCAAAAACAAGCTGAAAACTGCCTTCATGATTTAATGTGCTGTTGATTTATTGTAAATCTAATTAAAATTAGTCTTCTTAGCAGCATGACAGGCTGGTAGACTAATTAAACACCTCTGATTCACCACATAAAAATTGCAAGTTCTGTCATCATGTTACTTACCTTCATGTCATTACAAACCCACAAGACTTTCATGCATCTTCGAAACAGAAATGAAGGTATTTTGAAGGAAACATGAGAAATTTTAGTCCCTCTACTTAAAGGGTTAGTTCACCCAAAAATTAAACTTCTGTGTCATTAATCACTTACCCTCATGTCGTTCCAAAGACCTTCGTTCATCTTTGGAACACAAATTAAGATATTTTTGATGAAATCTGATAGTTTTCTGACCCTGCATAGACAGCAACGTAGGGACATTTTTAAAATAGTCCATGTGACATCTGTGATTCAACTGTAATGTTATGAAGCTATATGAGAATACTTTTTGTGTGCAAAGAAAATAAAAATAACGACTTTATTCAACAATGTCTTCTCTTCCGTTTCAGTCTTTGAACGTCTTTGACGTTCACGTGTCATTTGTGTTGCTGTCTATGGGAGGGTCAGAAAGCTCTTTGATTTCATAAAAAATATCTTAATTTGTGTTTTGAAGTTGAACGAAGGTCTTACAGGTTTGGAACGACATGAGGGTGAATAATTAATGACAGAAGTTTCATTTTTGGGTGCATTAATCCCTTTAAAGTCCCTTCCAAAACTTTTATGCTTCAAAATGTTCATGAAAATGTCTCTTAAGAGACATGACCACTTTATATGATGAGCAGATTTACTTCAGGCTTTTATTCACATACAAACATTGATCAACCCACATACAATAAATATACTGTAGTCAACTGCGGCTTAACCACATTTGGTTAATGTGTGAGAACAAACTTTACAGGTCAAATCTGCATTGGCTTCCTATGGAAGGACAGACATTTCAGGTTTCATTAAAAATATTTCATTTGTTTTGAAGATGAACAAAAGTCTTATGGGTTTAGTACAACGTGGGTGAGTAATAGATGGAATAATTTTTTTTTTCGAGTGAACTACAGTACAGCATGCCTTTAAATTTAATGGTATAATTGGCACTTGTTTCGATTATCAAAGCATGCCATGATCATTCTGCAATCAAAATGACTTATTCAATTAAATGTGCAGGCCTAATAACATTTTAGCTTCTTAGCAATGAAGTTATTTAGTTTGAACAAAAGGAAATGTTTTCATCTCGTATTTCCAGCTTGAGTCATCAAGCTGGTTGTCAGTGGCACTACTAATTTAAGACACACCAATGAACAGGAAGTATTATTTAAACAAAAGCCGCTTTTCCACCGCAATTACCTGGAACAATTTGTCCCAGGACATTTTTCCCCCTAGACCTGTTGCTGTCTTCGTTTCCATTGCGGTCTAAAGTACCGAGAAGATTAGGCAAATAGTCTGGTGACGTAGGTCTGCACGCGTTTCTCAATACCAAGTAGCCTACGCAAATTTCGGACTTGCATCCTCGGTAGTTCGGACTTCGCAAGTTGGGATGGGACGATGCAAGTCCGGTAATTCTGCAAATGGAACAGCAGCGTACTCAATAACGTAAGTCAGCTCGCCTTGGCTACTGCAGTTTTCCTCACTGTATTTTCAATAAGTCGAAATATGATATCAAACACCACTGCCTCTTTTCATTTTCATTTAAACATATTAATAGCTGCAGAAATGTACTTCAGGGAACGTACATGCATTATAATGAAACGAAATATTATATCAAACAGTATTGCCTCTTTTCATTTTCGTTTTACCATATTAATAGAATAAAGACCAAAGATTACCTGTTAGATTTACCCAAAACGAATGATATCTTATGTTTAACCACTACAGAGACATCAGAGCCAGCAGCAAATGTCAGAAGGACTAGCCGAGTTGAGGCTGCTCTCATTGGGAAACATGAGCACTGAGCACCCGCTGATCGTGTGGAGCTCACATCTCCGAAATGGGCAAAGCACATTTTCAAATAGGCGCTGTCTTTATAAATAAACTGCAGATTTGAGTTTTAAACAACTACATTCTGAAATACTTTAAAAACTAAATTTCATGACACAATAACAGTAATATTTTAAAAAATTATGCGAATATATGGTGGTTGAAATACAATGATGCGTGAACTCAACCAATCAGCATGTTCAGCGCCCAAGTCCCACCCCAAAAGTTCCGGACCTTTGAAAAAGCACTACCTCGCGAGCAGGTACTTTCTGAGGGGCAAATTTTTACCTGGAACTTTATTTAGATCCTGGTTCCTGCGGTGGAAACACAACGAGTACCGGCCCAAAGTTCCTAGTTCCTGGGGAAAGTTCCTGCGGTATGGACGGGGCTTATGACTGCTATGAATGATAGCATGCTATTGTTGCTAATGTGAAAACACTCATCCGCACATTCAGATATATGATTATGAAACAGAATGACTCACACTACGGTCGTCGTCCTCGCTCTTCATGTGGTTTGCGATGAAGCGGACTCCGTCTATAGCCTCCTCAAACCCTGGGCAGGCCTGGGCCAGCAGAGCCTGGGTGAGGACTGTAGGGGGCTGCTGCTTTCCCTGAAGTAGAGCAGAGCTTTGCAATGGATTTGAACCTCCTTCCCTGGCCTCTCTCCCACTTTCCCTTATCCCGTTTAGTCCATCTGTTGACCCCCCTCCGCCACGCAACTCTGCCCCAAACTGTTTAACTGAGGCCCGGTTCACATAGCATGTGCACGCCTCATTGTTCTCTTTGCTCCCCGACGAAGAGCTGCCCAGGCCCAAACCTGCCACGAGCCCAGCAGCCAGACCCACTCGCCCACCTTCCTGCTGTTCGTTGGCACGCCGGCGTTGGCGCAAACGCTGACGCTCGCTGCTGTTGCGCGGCTGCCGCATGAAAAGCAAAGCAGGTAACTTGTTGAGGAACACTAGCTTCACCCATGGAGGCATGGTGTGTGTGGTGGGTGACCGGTGATGCACGTTCAGCACGCACACACTTGTCACAATGGAGAACGTGACCAGCACCATGGTGAACATCAGATACTTCCCGACCAGAGGGACGTCAAGAGACGTGGGCGGCACAATTTTGGAGATCAGTAGCAGGAACACAGTGAGGGCCAGTAGCACTGAGATACAGAGCGTCATCTTCTCCCCGCAGTCTGACGGAAGGTAGAAGACCAAGATGGCCAGCGAGGTGATGAGGACGCAAGGAATGATGAGGTTGATGGTGTAAAAGAGGGGTTTGCGCCGGATAAGGAAGTCATAGGTGATGTCTACATAGGTTGGGTCCGAGGGGTTCTCGTTGCGCCGGCCGGGCAGAGCGATGATGTCCCACTCGCCACTGGGTGTGAAATCGTCCATGCTAGCCACGTCCGCACGCAGAACCAGGTCCACTTCTGTGCGGTCGTAGGTCCACGAGCGGAAGCTCAACGTGCAGTTCTGCTGGTCGAAGGGAAAGTGCTTCACCTCAATTTTACAGGCACTCTTATAGATCGCTGGTGGCAGCCAGAAGACACTTCCATCGTAGGAGATGACAGCATTGGAGTAGAAAGACACCTCATACATGCCGTCAGCACTGATGGGGAAGGAGACAGAGAGGTTACGAGATGGTTTATACTTCAAAGTAAACTTTATCAATAGCATTTGTGGCATAATATCGACAATTACATAAAATAATTTAGGATCGATTTTCGGGACCAGAGTTCAATTGATCCCCCATCCCCCTGCTGGACTGGGTTCACACTGTGTTTTTGTTTCAGAGCCACAGTACATCAGGGTTTTCTGCAGGTCCTTAAAATGGTAAATTTTTTAATTTAAGGCCATAAAAAGTCTTAAATGGTACAAGAAAGTCTTAATTATGATTTCAAGAGGTCTTGAAATCATCACGGAAAGACAAGAATTGTGATTTGGCTGAATGTGACAATTAAACTTCAAAAGGCTATAATTTGATTAAATAAACATGAGCACTGCTTGTTTCAAAGTCAGGTGCTGCGCTGCTTTTTGTACCGGGGAAACTGCTATATTTCTGCCATTCAGAAAGCGCCACCTGTTGGCAGAGAATGAATGTGCATTTTCAGTAAGTCCATCTGCTGAAAATCAACCCATGTTTTTACGCTGCAGTTGTAAATGTGAACTGGTGGATAATGCATTATAAAAATCTAAACAATTAAGACAGTAAAATATATGTTATTTAATTAATATAAGAATTGATTGATAACAATTCTTTAAATTAATTGAATAATTGGATCATTTTGACCCATCCATTTTCTTAATGGTTTAAAGGCTGAAATGTGAAGTTTATCATTTCATAAAACTTTTCGTTTTTGTGAAAACCTGTATCTGAACTGTAAATCATGCTTTTTATAGTCATTTTACAGTTTAATATATTACCATAGCCATTGCCCTACCCCGCTTACATGGTATTCATTTTATTTGTGCAGGTCTTACAAAAGGTCTTTAAAAGTCTTAAATTTTAGCTTAAAAATCCTGCAGATACCCTGGTATGTTTGCGTCACCAGAGTAGCAGCTATTTACCCCTTTTGCTAGGAAATGGCTAAGCAGGAGAAGATGGCAAAATGAATGGATAGCCTCCAGTTGATTGCTCACCTCACTTTTGTGCTTTGGATTTTGAAAAATTGGTTTTGTTTCTAAAGCGCCAACACATAACGGCTCATGCATCATTTGTCACAAATGTAATGCAAAGGTTCAAAAGAATGAGGGAGTCAATTTCTGCTGAAGGTGAGTGGGAATGAGATATAAATTATCTCTGCTTGGAGCACTTCAGTCAAGTTAAGTCAAATTTGTTGCATATACTGTACCCCAGACTGTCCCTTAGACAGACTCGGGTATGGTTCAGAAGTTCAGAAAACCGCAATCACATTATCCAAATGAACCGAACTCTGATGTCAAATGAAACCAGTTGCACACCAAAAGTGCTGTGAAAGCCCACTTAGACTCGTCAGTCGTCATTTTTTTAATGGCACAAATTAATACAGTAACATAAAAAGCAACCACATTTACTTGTTTATTTTTCTTTAAAAGGTTTACTATTATTGAGGTAAAATTGTCAAAATTGTCAAAAAACCTTTTTCAAGTGGGATTACTTTTGGTTATGTATCACTGATTTAATTTGTAGATAGAGATTGCTTCATGTAAACAGTGCTTTACAGCTTTACAGTTTTGTAACTTCAGTTTCTGGTATCATTGCACATACAGTATTGTGTGAATGTTTGCGAGTTTACGTAATCATGACAACAGACATTTAAACTTGTACATTTAGCAGATGGCACATTGTATTCAAAGGACACACTTTATCAGCTTGTTCATTTGCTACAGTATGAATCAAACCCATGACCTTGACAGACTGGATATTGTAACTTTAAGCAACATTACCCAGACAAGTTAAAGCACACAAGTCACATGGCAAGATATTGTGCATCCCTACATATAATGATTACATCTTTTGGCTATACTTTTAATACGGTGTATTTTAATATTGACTGCCTGACCTTGTTCACTTCAAATGTAAGTGCCTTATGTAACCGTTTAGTTGAGGCATTTGGTGCAGACACATCACATTTGCTAGGTACATAATCCAGAAAATATCATAACAATAGTAGAAAATGGAACTTGAATCTACTGCGAGTGTTTGGGGCCTGTTTGTGGGTGTCTCTGCAGAGAGATGATCAATAATACATAAAGACAAACACAGGAGGGAGGCTGGTGTTAATTAGGTTGAATTTAAAACATCTTCCACTGACAGTGAGAGAGGAGGAACATGCTTTATTTACAGTGAGGTTATGTAATGTGACATGAGAACACCGCTAATGAGACAAAGACTGATAAGCAGGAATGTTATCTACACTCTAATGACAGAGGAAAGGTATGGGTGATGGAAAGAAAGGATCAGATATGATAAAGACAGTGATAAACTAACTAGATAAGTACTGTAAATACACAAGAGCCAAAAATGGGATGATCTTTAAGACTTACTTGTTGTAAAGAACAACATCAGGTAACCAAATATGTTTGGAGGGAAGACGGACCTTCTTCATGCCATCAAACTCATCTGGGTTCCATGTTAGCCGGTAGTCCTGCCACTCCTGAGGATAGAGTGAAAATAAATAACCATGGTGGACTCGAGAGGCTATGATCCCTGGAGAAAGCAATCCATTAGGGTTTCCTTTCATCTCAATGGCAGAATAAACAGATTCTTTTGAATGGCTGCCAATTTAGAAAGATGTGTTTTGCAGCCAGATAATGTAGTTACAACACCTACTAGCACAAGTTTACGGCAAAACCTTGACCCTTTGGATAAAAGTAAAATACACTATTAATTTATGTTCTTTCCCCCCACATTTTCCTCCTCACGTTATGAAAATGTAACTTCTCTTCACCCTGTGAACAGGAGGTGTAACCAATTCCACATGCTGTTAAGATCGTGTTCATCTGTCGCACACACCACTGCTCTCAGTCAATTAGCAGTATATTTAGCGTATGTATAAATGATCTGTCACTTTTCATTACTAATAGAAATGTCCTAATAAACTAGATTAGAAGATTAGAAATAATTACTTGAGGCCATAAATGCTGACAGATTAAACAGTAGTCATATTAATACACACAAAAAGAGTGATAAATGTCTAATGATGGTCATTTAATACACTTCCTGTTGGGTTTGACCAGATAGTGACCACTAATGTAATTATACTACATTTTTTACTCTGACACACCAATCGCATACACATACACTCTGGCTAGGAAAGACACACACACAGTGGCAAAGTTTTATGGGTAACCTGTACTGACAGCAGCAATAACTCCTGCCAACTGACATCTATGGTCATAGTGACCATGAGCAGATGATTCAGAGTGGGAGTGTCAGAAAGATGAAGAACGAGAGAGAAAAAAGAGAGATGTGTAAGAGAGTACTGTATCTGTACAAACAGATTTTCATGGGTTGTTTTGTATGTAATAACAGCTTGTGAGATACTGATGATGTAAACAAGCTCAAATTGACATTTCATTTCAAAGTGAGAGTGAATATTCTGCATATTTACACTCTTAACCACATGTTTGTTTGTTTTTTAATTACGGCGGGATATTTTTAATTATTGGTACCTGTTGATGTTAGGTATTTAATTGTGAATGCACACTTAAAGTTAATTTAAAAAAAAAAAAATTATTTAATAATAGTTATGTAAGCTTTAATAGAAATCAGTGGAATATCCACTGCAATTACAGAAAAACAAACGTGTGTCTGTGAAAACAATAAAATGGGGCATAAATAATGCAAGTATTGACTGACCTGTGTAAGCCAGACATTGGTGGTCATGATCTGTTCTCTCTCATGCTGTGTAAAAGAAAAAACAGACAGAGAAATGTTAAAAGTTGATACAAATTTCTAATTAAATACAACTTGATAAAATAACAACTTAATAATAATAAAAATAAATTATATAATTTTTATTTATTCCAGCATTTATTAACATTTATTAATTAAATTATTAGTATTATTATTATTATAGTAAATATATGATATAATAATAATACCAAGCTGACAGAGAAAAGTAAAAATAAAGGCAAATTGTACAATTTTACGTAAAAAATAAAAATAAATCTGCTTTTGAACAATACATTTAAGTAAGTTATATAGTTTTATTCATTCCTGCATTTATTCAAATGTATTAAATATATTAAATATATTATTATAATATATTATAGTAATATAATATAATATAATATAATATAATAATTTCCTCCAGCTTTTAGCCCAGGTAAGTGAGCTGTTGCATTACAAGCATGAAGGAAGCATGTAATCGGCTGATAGCTGAGCAGTTAGCATAGAATGATGAGTGGTCAGTAAGCATGCATGGGTAATTTGCTGCACCTGTGGGAACAGAGATGGCCATTTCCTGTTGTCCATACTCGCTTCTTAGCATACTGACATCATTTTACTCTAAAAATCATGCTAATACAGAAGCCTCTAAGCCTAACTGCATTATGTCACAGCTCCATTTTAAGCCTAAGTAGGCTTACTGTGCTAAGATACATAATACCACACTGAAAACCGACCAAATTTGAAAACAGAAGAGATGTTGAATAGACAAGAGGGTTTCATTAAATGCTCTGGCTCTGTCACGGATTGTTATTTGGTTGAACTCTTCTGAAGGGAACTAATGTTATGATTAAGTGAAGTACAATTCATAAGGAGGCACAGCATGCCCAAAAAACTAGAACAGTTTAGTGAAACCTTTATTCATATGCATATTGTATGTAAATATGAGAGAACAATATGTAAATATGTCCACTGACCACACTGATGAGCTGAGCCAGCGAGACCATCAGCTGCACTGTCACCAGTTCTGAGCCATTAGTCGCTGGTCGGATCAGTTTGTTGTAGTGGGCTGGATTTAGAAGATGCTCCACCAGTCTCTCTTCTGTATCTGCCCCATCACTGCCTGTAAGAGATATACAGCACCATAGATCAATACACATCCCACATTTAAAAAAGATTCCCCTTTTTGGAAGTGGCATCTGCTGTGTATTTTTGTTTAAACCTGAGGCACAGCTGCAAAACACAGAAAACCTCCTCTCTGGAGAACAGCTTGGATTTATGAAACAGAAATCTGTTATAACAAAATTCATGCAACTTTACATGGACACCACAGAAAAAAATAATGAAAGAAAAAAAATGCAATTAAAAATAAAATGATATATGGCCAGATAAAACTGCAATATACAGCGGGTAAAATAAGTATTGAGCACATCACCATTTTTCTCAGTAAATATATTACTAAAGGTGCTGTTGACATTCAGTATCAATCCAGATGTCGGTAACAATCCAAGTAATCCATACATACAAAGAAAGCAAAACAAATAAGTTCAGAAATTAAGTTCTGTGTAATAAAGTAGAATGTCACAGCGAAAAAGTATTGAACACATGAAGAAAGGGAGGTGCAAAAAAGCATGGAAAGCCAAGACACCAGCTGAAATCTATCAGTAATTAGAAAGCAATCCTGCCCCTTGTCAGTGGAAATTAATATTAGTTGGTTCAGTCCCAACTGATGGCCTATAAAAAGGTGTCTCATGACCAACTTGTCACACAAGAAACATTTCATGATGGGTAAAAGCAAATAACTTTCTCAAGACCTTCGCAACCTTATTGTTGCAAAACATACTGATGGCATTGGATACAGAAGGATTTCTATACTTCTGAATGTTCCAGTGAGCACTGTTGGGGCCGGAAGTGGAAAGAACATCATTTCACCATAAACCGGCCACGACCAGGTGCTCCTTGCAAGATTTCTGACAGAGGAGTGAAAATAATTATCAGAAGAGTTGTCCAAGAGCCAAGGATCACTTGTGGAGAGCTTTAGAAAGTCCTGGAATTCGCTTGTACAATTGTTTCAAAGAAAATAATTAGTACAATAAGTAATGCACTCAACTGCCGTGACCTGTATGCACGCTCACCACGCAAGGCTCTATTGCTAAAGAAAAAGGCATGTTGAAGCTCGTTAAATGTTTGCTGCACAACATTTAGACAAGCCTGTGAAATACTGGGAGAATATAGTCTGGTCAGATGAGAAAAAAATTTTACTCTTTGGGTGCCATAATACACATCATGTTTAGAGGTCAAATGGCACTGCACATCACCCCAAAACATCATGGTGTAGCACTGGCAAAATTCATATAATTGAAGAAAGGATGAATGGACAAATGTACTGAGACATTCTTGATAAAAATCTGCTGCCATCTACCAGGATGATAAAGATGAAATGAGGGTGGACATTCCAGCGAGACAATGATCCCAAACACACAGACAAGGAAACTCTCATTTGGTTTCAGAGAAAGAAAGTAAACCTGCTAGAATGGCCCAGCCAATCACCTGACTTGAAGCCAATAGAAAATCTATGGAAAGAACTAAAGCACCTTTAGAAATATATTTACTGAGAAAAATGGTGATGTACTTATGTACTCAATACTTATTTTACCCGCTGTATATATATATATGTAACTGTTTACACATTGTAATTTTTTGCAAATAATACAGTATATATAATTTCAGTTAATATTTATTTCAAGTAACAAAAATGTGTTTTTATGGTTTTAGTTTTATTTAACTATGATAAAAGGGGCTGCACTTTAGTAAACAGAACATACTCGGTTACTAACGTAACCTCGGTTCCCTGAGATACGGGAACAAGTACTGCGTCTTGCTTAAGAAGCTATGGGAAAACTCCTTTTTCTCCGATGACTGAAGCCTTTTCAATAATGCAGTGTAACTGCACGGCCATTGGTTTGTGCAGTGAATTAAAAACGCTCAATATAAAATCTCAATGCCCTGACAGGGCAGAGTAAATTCAACTCTTGGTCTTGCTCCGAAGGAGGAAGCTCCAATAGAGTTATTACTTGTGCTGTGAATGGAGTAGAAAGCATTTTAGGTACTGTATGTAACCATGCCTTGGCTTCAGGACGACCTTGGAGTCGCCGGGCCCGAATTCGAGGCAGGCGGGGCTCACAGAGCGCGGCTATCTGGATGTGAAAGTAGGCGTCTTTCAGATCCAGCAAAAATAACCAGTCCCCTGGGCACACTTGCAAGAGGATCTGCTTCAATGTAATCATCCTGAACGGCTGTTTCATGAGGGCGTGGTTCAGATGTCTGAGATTGAGGATGGGTCTTAGGCCGCCATCCTCTTTGGGGATGAGGAAGTATCGGCTGTAGAAGCCTGACTCGCTCTGAGCCGGGGGAACCATTTCTATGGCTCCTTTCACCAGCAAATTCATAACCTCGGCGCACAGGACGTGTGCGTCTTTGCTCTGAACTGAGGTGGAAACCACGCCACTGAAACGCAGGGGCCTTTGAGTGAATTGAAGTGTATAACCTCATTTTATTATTCCCAAAACCCAGTCTGACACTCCGGGGATGGCCTGCCAGGCCTCGGCCCGTGTGGCAAGGGATTGGATTGTTTCGAGCGACAGGCCGCCTTGCGGGGACCCGAATTTCGTGATAAGAGGAAGAGGATATTTGCTCTCTTTTTGAAAATGTTTGTGTTTTATTTTTCTCGCAATAACAGCGATCGGTTGTGTGGGCGCTATTTGAATGGGCCCAGAGTTCACAATGGTGTTTACCATAAACACATTTCCGTCACCATCCGGAACTGAACGGGGAGCTTGGAAGCACGACAGAGGCTGCTTGGGGGGTGGTCCGGCTGTAGCGAGACTTTGTCCCTTTCTCTTTCTGTCTCGCAGATCAGGAAGACGCCTGAGGCGCCGGGTCCAGCACTATCTTGGGCCGGGGTCCCTGGCGCTTAGGGAATGGATAGCGTCTGGCCGAGCGAAAGCGATGACGGGGCTCAGGCTTAGAAGATGATTGAGCAGCTGGAGGTGCGGCCTTCATGGGCTGCTGAGTCGGTGCCATCTTGGGCCAACTGGAAGCAGTTGCAGAACTGGAATGCTTTGGCAAGGGACGACTTCTGTGCGGCGGTGAAGCGTTCAGCGAAACACTCAACCGCAGGTCCAAACAGGCCAGTGGGGGAGACCGGGGAGTCGAGGAAGGGAACCTTATCCGCATCCGTTATCTCCGTAAGGGTCAACCATAGGTGGCCCTCAAGCACTACTAGACTGGCCATGAACCTGCCAATCGCCTGAGCCGTCATCTTGGTGGTGCGTAAAGCCAGGTCGGTCGTGCTGCGCAGCTCTCTAAAAGCTGCGGGGTCTGGGCCGGACTCATCCATGCAGCAGAGGAGTTTGGCCTGAAAGACCTGGAGGTGGGCGGCCTTTGCCTTCCAACCGATGGCCATGGGCAGGCAAAGATGCGCGGACACTGACTCGTCCAGGGGAGGCAGTCTGTAGTACCCTTTTTCTTCGGCGCCGTCAACCAATGTGAGGGCGGACGAACCGATGGCCATGGGCGGGCAAAGATGCGCGGCCACTGACTCGTCCAGGGGAGGCAGTCTGTAGTACCCTTTTTCTTCGGCGCCGTCAACCAATGTGAGGGCGGACGAAGAAGAGGCACATAAGCGGGACGAGTAGGGGGCGCTAAAATCTGCCAGCCCGACAGCTCCTCCGCATCTGAAGCCGCCAGAGACATGCTGCCATCCATGTCATCGCACTCGCTCCCACCAAACGAGACCAGATCACTGGTGATCTGCCGCAGAGGGATGCTGGTCTGGGTGAGCGAAGAGGATGGGAGAAACATACAGTGGGTACGGAAAGTATTCAGACCCCCTTAAATTTTTCACTAGGAGAGAGTGAGGCACGCGGGGGCTCAGCCGGCGTGGGCTCACTTGTCTCCGAGAGCCGAGTTACTCTGCCCCGCTGCTTTTTCCTCACAGGTTCCTCTAAAAAGAAAGCTAACCGAAAGCGCAGAGAGGCGAGACTCGTATCCTCGCAATGAGGACATTCTGTCTCAGTGAGTGCAGTTTCAGCGTAGGCGGCGCCCAAGCATGAAACCCACTCGCCGTGTTTGTCAGCGGCGTGCAGGGAGCCCTGCATGAGCGACAATAATGGCGCTGCATTTGTGACAACAGCGAGAAAATTTGCTCTTAGAAATTTGCTCTAATAGAGAAATCGCCGGATGGCGGAAGGGGACCGGAAGACCGCAGCTGCTGCAGAAGCTGCGGCTGGGGAGCGGCGAAGTCAGCCGAGCGGGAAGGGGTCTAGATCTGCTGCGAGGCTTGTTCACGGCGAAGGCTTCGAGTCTCGAAGAGCGAAGATCTTGCAGTCGTCGGTGAAGGAGAAGAAATCTGAGGATCCTATGGCGAAATGCCCGCTTATATAGCCAGATGGCCCCATCCCATTGTGGCGGGCTTTGTTGCCATAGGCTCGTGCAGCTCCGCAAGACACAGTACGAGTGAAGTATCGATAGGCAACGGCAGCTTTCAGCCTTTGGCAGGATAGCAGAAAAGCATTGCCTCAAATCTCTTTTATTTTTGTGAGTGACAGGCAAACATCCATCATTGCGTGCTTATAAAACCCTTGTCGCAAGCTTGCTTCATGCAATTGACTAATAGCATCTACAGATCAATCCAGTGAGATGGCTTTATTCATCAATCAAGTAAAAGCTGTTTTCCCCACTTGAGTTTATTAGTTACATAGGGCACATTCCTTTGTATACTAATCTTCACTACCACCACAACACAGAACGTAACAATATTGTAATCTTAACTAGATGCAATATAAAATGACTCTGTATATGACAAGCAAGTCAATATTCTCTTTCATATTACACTGAGAGATGGTGTAGCGTATTGGTCTCCACTTCACCCATCTTCTTGTTTTCTCCTTTCTCAGGGTCAGCATAATAAATTTCTGTCTCTGTCTCTCTCACTAACTACTCATCCATCCTGTCCTCTGTCTCCCTCTCTTATTGGCTTGTTCTTGCCGCTCTTGTTGTGTTCAGTGGACAGGAAAGATGTTTCTATGGCACAGATCAATGAAGACTAATCGCACACCATAA